ACACACACACACACACACACACACACACACACACACACACACACACACACACACACACACACACACACACACACACACACACACACACACAAACACATACCCTTCCCATCTCACCCACGCCCTCCACACGCGGCGAATAGTGTGTTAGTAGTGTTGCAGGTTTGTATCGTGTAGTCTTGGTTTGTGTATGCATGCATGAATTTGGGGGCGTGCTTAGAGAACGGGGGAGATTGTATGCATGTGTGTATAATATCTCATCCTGCCCCGGCCTATGCGATGCGATGTATGCTGGTGGATGGAATGAACTTTGCTACTACTAATTTTTCTTGTTTTTTCTGAAAATAGGCGTCTTTTCTTCCTTGGTTTTAAAGCTTGTTGATTTCAAACGGGTTATCGCTCGTTGTTGCTGTTGAGTGCAGTGACTGGTTCACTGATCTTATTTTATTGTAATACGACGACCAGGCTCAAAGACATCACGAGCTCGAAACATGGCGCGACTACAGCAACAAGCTTCCTCTACACCACTTCTCCTCATCCTCCTCGTAACCCTACTGGCCCTCTCCTCGGCTCCCACCCTCACACTCGCATCGCCCACCACGAGCAAAACCACAAACCAGCACACGGTAGCACTCATCCACCCCCGCCAAGCAGCCTCAGCAACACCCGACACGCGCTGCACAAGCTACCTCCAAACTGCACGTCTGGCAACAGTAGGCGGCAACAGCACATACCGCACCGCATACCTACAACTCTCCCGCCAAGGCACAAACGCCAACCGGGTGCTTCTCAACGCCGCCGTGGCAGCGCTGCCGGCGCTGACGGTGGACAAGGGGCTGAATGCGCAGTGCGGGAACCTGACGGAGCGGGTGGCGGCGCAGACGGAGGAGGAGTTTTTCGGGGCTGGGGTTGTGCTTGGGATTGGCGGGGTGGGCGGGTTGGACAGTCCGCCAGGGAAGATTGTGGGGAGTGATTGGACGTTGGTGTTGATTGTGGCGGCGATGTTGGGGGTTATGATGGGGACGTGGAGTATGTTGTGAGGGTGAGGTGGTTTGCAGGCTTATGAGAGATGAGGGATGTGTGTGTGTGCAGAGATGGGTGGGGTATTTGAGTGTCTATTGTTATATTTTGCTGAATGAATATATGCATACATACATGTCGATACGTTAGTACTCGTCGTCGGTGACGTTCTCGTCGGCCATGCCGGCAAGACGTTCCGTCTCGCCGCCGAGCAAGGGTGCTCTCTCGCCCTCCTTTCTTGCGTAGTGTCCTCCCAAGGAGATGGCTAGTGTAGACAAGCCATGTACCATCGTCGAGCCAAGCACAATAAAGCAGATGATCGGCCAGACAATGTCTATCGCCCGTTGCTGATCTTCCGGCAAGTCGTGGGGTGGGTATGGCAGTGGGACGGACGAATCCGTCTCCAATTGCGCACGAGCTTCCATGGCCAGGAACAATGCCCCAACCCCCATGGGCCCGAAGTGGCCGGTGAAGAGAGCTTCCCACCACGTCTTGATGCTTGGAATCCATGGCTTGAGCACCAGCACGGCTGGAATACGTCGAAATAGCAGCACGAGCACTAGCAGACCGAAAAGGCGCGGAATAGTGATCGGATCCAGTGTAAAGTCCGCCCAAGGGATGATAGTCCCGAAAAAGATGAACATTGTGGAGTTTAGGAGCAGATCGATGATCTGTGAAAGCTGCGACTCCTGAATCGGGGAGACGCCGTCGCGGGAAAAGGCGATGCCGGCACTGAAGGCAACCAGGAAATCGTCGAGGCCTAGAGTGCTTGCAAGGCCGACGCTGAAAAGGGCAAGGAGAAGATAGGAGACCAGAAACGACTCGCGACCAATGAGTGATGTGTTGCGGGCGTAGTGGAATATTTTGTTGAAGATATAGCCAACCACGAGACCTGTAATCACACCCAAGATGCACTGGTACAAGATGCTTATCAACAACCACTTCTTGAAGAAACCGCCGATAGTGAATCGAACAAGAAGACTGAGTCCAACATAAAGAAAAGGAAATGAGATGCCATCATTGCATCCAGACTCTGCTTGTAGGAGAAGTCTCAGTCTCTTTGGGACTCTCTCAGAAAACTGCGAATGGGCCAGGATACTGGAAGCCAGAACTGGATCAGTCGGCGTGAGGCATGCAGCAACTGTGAGCGCGGTAGGAATGTCGGTTCCAAAGAGCAGCGCCACAAAAACAGCACATATGAGCCATCCATATGCCATGACCGGGCCAAGGAGCATCGAGAGGCTGCGAATGTTCTTCCTCATGTACATACGCGGAAGCTCCACGCCAATAGCGAAACACTCGACGCCGAGGACTACACGAGTCAGCTCTTGAACGACATTATCGCCGTAGCTCCAAGCATGAGGCTTCAGAATGTCCAGTCCCCTAGGACCACACGCTATCCCAAACAGAGTTGCAAGCGGAGGCTCTGACAGATGCAGACGGTTTCGAATGAAAGCCGAGAAGATGGCATAGGCAATGAGGAAGAGTGAGAGAAACAGATAAGTTAGATGAGGCCCAGTAGGCTCAAGCTGCGACCAAGCCATGATACAGTGCAGTGTAAGGGACGAGTTCAGTGGTGTATAGCTCTACAAGGATGCAGAGAATTGACAGGGAGATGCGAAGTATGCATGTGGATGAGAACGAGCAATTGGTGTGAGACAGTTGGATGTGAGTAAGTAAGAATTAGAACTGTGTTGTAGAAGATAAGAAAAATGTCCCGTCACGACGATGACGACTAAGCTGCTCACTACGATTCGGTACGATCTAATCTGAGGGTAACTTAATTATTGATACCTTAGAATTAAGGCTAATAACTCGCTTCCAATCAGAGCCACAAAGCTTAATGCATAATTAATTAGTTTAGTCATGCACCGGCCCTGACGATCATTATATCACACCCGTTTGTTGCTCCTGTCCACTTTGCGCTGCGTTGTACCAAATCCGTTATCACAGTACAATCTGTCAAAGGCGAAGTCGGTTCGCCCTTCACGCGCAAGAGTTCTCGACTGAGACAGAAATACATACAGTATGTGATTGGTAATCATTATCGATGTGTACATGTTTTTTACATAGTCCCGGCGCAAAGATAACCAGCACTTGGTAGTCAAGCAACCAGCATTCATCCAAGCTATCCAGCTTAGATCCTCTCGGCCTCATCCAAGAGGGTTTGCAGTTCAAAAGTGCTGTCGCCGCGAGTGAACGACTCCAGCAGGCGTTTCCGCTCAGCCCGTTGCTCGGCTTGTACGCCATAGAACTTCTGCATGCACATAAGCAGCCATTTCCCCTCATCTACAGTGACGCCTCTGCCCTGCATGACAGTCCCCTGTCCAAGGACGAGTCCTTTCGTTTGCGCGAGCTCGGTATGGAATGTGACAGTGGTATGTGCGTTTGCGTATTCACCGCGTAGTTTGTACTCGGCCAGGTGCGTGAAAAGCACTGTCACGGCGTGTTCTGTTGGGAAGTTCCATTGCATGAAATGGATCTCAGCTGCCGCGTTCGACGCCTGCGCTTCTCCAGCAGTCGCAGCAGCACTACCATCTTCGACGGGCACTTCCCGTGGGAGTGGCAAGACGAATTGCGGGTGCTGACGGGCCATCTTTACGATTGCACCCCACGTATCTGCGGGCACTGCAAATGACAAAGATTGCTCCTTGTGGGCATGTCGAAGCCGCCATAGAGGTTCAATCTGCGATGTAGGTAGGTCGGATATTTTTTCGAGGTCGAGGTACGAGGACAGGGGCTTCACGGAGCTGTTTGCTTTGGGAAAAGAGGATGGCGCTCTTGGGCTCGAGGCTTTCGTTGTATCTTGTGATGGTGCAGATGATGCTGCTGGTTTTGAGTCTGCTTTGGGGGATATAGCTTGCGCGGTATCGAGTGGCGCTGTCGCTCCAGGCACCGCAGCCTTCTTCCTTAGCTCTTGGATTTTCTCCTTGTAGGCATCTTTCAGGCCTTCAATCGACTCATGGCCCTCCCTGCACGACACATTCATCAGCCCCAGTACCATCTCCATGACAAGAGTCTCATAGATGATCTTACATACTCTCTCGCTCTGCGTTCAAGCTGATCCCGATATTTCTCTATAGTCCGTTCTTGGACGTTCTGTGTCGCAAGAAAGCGTACGTCCTGTACTTGGGCCCATCGTTTCTGACAGTAGCCCGGTCGTAATGAGGACCGCGATAGAATGCGGGGAATCTGTTGTATGTGAGGGAGGAGAGGCATGACTGAAGCTTGTGAAAGCTAATTATTGCCTGCGGATTATCGATGCATCGTGCGTGCCATCATCTCGCCTTGTCCATTGTATATATCTACCGGAGAAACGCCGCAGCCAATCAGAAACGAGGAACCGGGGTTGGATACAGGACGATAGACAACAGGCAACAGACAACGAACAAAGAGAAAGGCCAGTCTGATGATACAGGGCTATGTGAGAGTCGTCTTGTGTGTGACTAACAATACATCTCATGTGACGGAAGTACGTGGTCGTCTTCGTCGATTCACGAGGCTGAGTCTGAGTCTGAGTCTGAGGCTCAGGCACCTGCATAGGTAGAACATGAGAGTTGACGCGCATGTCACAGGGCTGAATCTATCGGTTGTGTAGCGGCGCCGACGAACAGCTGGTCCGACGGTTGGAGACTTGAGAGATAAGATTGTACGCCATGTATAGAGAGCGTGGCAGTGTTTACGAGTATATGACCTGCGCGCGGGGATGTGTATTGTTTACTATTATCGAATGAATGAATCAATGAGTGAATAGACTATGCCCTGAAGATGCGAGAATGAATGAATGCGGCGTAAAGACGCCACCCGCAACTGAGGATGATGATGACGGCGCGAGGGGCTGCAGCTGATCCGTCGGGGGCACACAGCCTGACCTTAATGTTATTCACTTTGACCACTGCCTGTAGTAGGAGGCGGAAGACAATGAGTATATCTTCTGCGCAATAATAGTACCACCCACTCGTCTGCAAGACATCCTTGGCTGACATTTATTGTCTCTTAATCTCACTCACACACTCTCTCTCTTGGACCCTTGGGAATGGTCTACCACTGTTTAAAGCAACACACGAATGCGGCCAGAGTAGCTAATTAGGTAGCGGACGTGGGCGCGTCCCCTCTCATCATTTTATTCTCTCTATTTACCCTCACGCACCACCTCTGCCTATACATAATAATACACCTACACACACACACCCACCCACTCTTCGATCTCGATCTTCGCCTGTGCCTTGCAGCTCTCCTTACATGCGCTGCTCCTCGCTGTCGCCAATCCGCCCTTCACCAGCTATTCCCACCATACCCTTGTCCGATCACGCTCGTCCCCTTCATCCACTCGCACACCCTTCAACATCACCACCGTCGGTTCGCTGTCTCACCACCTCCTCCATTCGAGGAGCAGGCCGTGTACGGATTAAAAGCCTCGCAGCCGTTGCGCCATATAAGGCCACTAGTCATACACACATTTTTGTCGCATAGAGACTGCACTCAGGGCGTTCGCATCGCGTCGCGATGGGTAACGTTAGCAGTAGGTCCGGGGATGGAGAGGGGCTTCAACTTAGAGATCAGAGCAGATGTACGTACACTCAAAACACTGACGTTCTTGCGCACTAATCCTCATGTTCAATTCAGTCTCGATAGCATCTGTTGTTATATCAAACTCCTCGCGAACTCTCCTCAATGTTACGCCAAATGCCTTCCCTGCAAGTAGATTCAATGTAAAGAGAGATATCGGCGACGACTCCATTGTAGAATATGTACAGGTACGCTGCGACTCAGCCAGTCACTGAGCGACGAGCTCCAGCTGAATTATATTAGGATCCAGAAAGTGCACTATCTAGCGGCCCACCCGCGTTTCTCTTACGGCTTTCCAACGACGACACGCTCACTTTTACCTTTACATTCGTACTAAGACAAAGTACGGCATTCAGCAATACTCCAGCTGCCACGAATGGCACTGACAACCCTGCAATTGTACCCATCGATACAAACGTTAGCAATCTCACATACATTTGCACGTCGGGTACTCGAGAACTCGAGCAACTGGTCAATGTCGAGTTCCATGCGGATCCAAACCTTCACAAGAACCCGAAAGTCCAGCTGGTCGGCGACTTCACAACTGGCGGATCGCCTTCGGTGCAAGCACAATGGTCATGGACGTGGAAGCCACCAAAGCCAACCGAAGACAGAGGGGGAGGATGGCGCAACAGCTGCAGTGTATGCATTCAGGGTCCTATTGTATGGTCGACTATTGCTAACTTCTTCCAGTTTGTAGAATATGACCAGCGTGCACATCGCCTGAATACTCTGGCAACATTTGCGTTTTGGGTTCAGAGTAAGTGGAACACGCCTCTGTGTGCGTCTGCCACCTTTTAATTCACCACCAGATACCCGTCTTCCGCGAACGCCAAATCTCCTCTTACCCCCTTCCGAAATGAATACCCCACAGCGACTACGACTACCCTCGAACCAATCAATGGACTCACGACTCAGCGAATCAGACGTAGAAATGGGCCGGGAACCTCAATCACCCGTTTTTGATGCCATTCCTGAAAACAATCTCGGACTCATCCCATCGATACCCACAATCAAGTCCGACTCTACAGCTCCTACGCGAACCGGTGATGAACCTGCTTCCCAAGAGCCCAACGATCTACTCTTCCAAGCAGCAAAACGAGATTTCGAGCAGAGAACCAGCAACATCCGAGCTCGATGGAAGAAAGTTCTCAAGAAAGCGGAGACGGCATTGGACACCAAGGTCGTGGCGAACAATGCCATGTCAGAGCTCATGGACGCTCTACGGGAGACCTTTGCGGCGAACGGTTCCAATGCGCTACCGAACATCAACCTCTTCTTCGACAAGACTGCAAAGGATCTTTTGTCCTACGAGCGGTCAACCACCGTGCAGATGAAAAATCACATTATAGACCCAATCACCAAACTTTATAACATAGACATCAAAGGTGCGGACGCCCGCCGAAAAGACTTTGATGAAAAGGAAAAGGAATACAATGCGTGGGTTCGTTGGTATTTGGGAAAGACCGAGACCTCTCTAAAAGAGAAAAAGCGGGCCGAAACGGACATCAAGTACCAAGCAAAAAAGAAAAACTTTGAGCTCAAGCGCTTCGACTACTCGTCGTTCATCGAGGACCTCCAAGGAGGCCGCAAAGATCAAGAAGTCTTTCATCATCTCTTTCAGTACGCCGAGGCCCAGACAAGTAAATATCTCGATACAGCACACAAGATTGAGCAAATGAGGCCACAGCACGATGCTTTGCGGCTTGAGATCAAGCAGGCGAACGACGAATTTGACCTGCAGAGGCGACAGCGAGAAGAGAAGCGACGGGCTCTAGAGGTGAATTCCAAGGGACTCGGCGAGCAAACTGCATCCCCGAGTCTAGGCAATCACGCTAGCTTAGCACAGCCTACGGTGAGCAGGTCCTTGAGCGAGGATCCAACTCACAACTCGAGTACGGCAACACCAAGATCTGTTTCTATGGTACCATCAATCCCAGGGCAAACACCAAGTGCTCCTACTGGTAGTACCCTGTCAGCGTATGAGAAGGAAGGGGTTCTGTATGCTCTGAGTCGTCCTGGAAGTCACGCTGATCCGAAGGGTCTCAACAAGCAAGCATGGCACAAGTAGGTATCGCCGACGGCTTATCAGGAAGCAAGCCTACTAACGACATTTAGGTTCTGGATCGTACTCAATCAAGGGAAGTTGCTCGAATACGCAAATTGGAAAGTAGCGCCAGAGCTACAAATGACGATTGATCTTCGAGTTGCCAGAGTCCAAGAAGCTCGAAACGCCGAGCGACGATTCTGCTTGGAAGTGCAGACTCCAAACTTCACTCGCGTATATCAAGATACCAGCGACGAGGGAGTCAAATCATGGATAGGGGCTATCCAAAATGCTATACAGAACGCCCTGGAGGCCCACATAGATAAACCTGCTCCCGATGGGAGTTCCGATCAGAACCTCAACATCGCCACAGCGCTTACAGGAAAACCGTCCAAGCATTACTCTCTTTCCGGAAACCGCATGTCTTACCAGGGCGGGACTCCAAAGTCGAGTAATGCACCCTCACGATACAACACAACCGGAGGCAATCTGGCACGGCCCACGATACAGGACCAAGCTGTGTCTCCTCTTCTGCAGAAACTTCGAGAAGCGGATCAAGATAATCTCTACTGTGCAGATTGTTGTTCTGCAGACAAGAATGACTGGGTCTCGCTCAACTTGGGTATCATCATATGTTTCCAATGTAGCGGTGTACATAGGGGTCTCAGCCGCGACGTGTCGAAGATCGCTTCTTTGACCCTCGATACGACCCCATTCACACCTGATGTGGTTGAACTTTTGACAAGAATTGGAAACCGGAACAGCAACAACGTTTGGGAAGCCAAACTTGACCGGGCGCAACAGATCGGGCCTTTTTGCACCGAGGAACAAAGGAAGCAGTTCATCATTGCCAAATACAAGAAGAAGGCATTTGTTCGAAAGTTACCCGAAGCAATGCCTCACGTCCATTCTCCAGTCGAGCCACTCGTCATGGCGGTCAAGAAGAACGACCTCCAAGGGGTTGTGTACGCTCTCGCTGTCCCCAAATCGACGGACACGGATGAAAATGCGGAGGTGACGGCAGCCATCAAGTTTCGAAAAGAGGCAGTCGACCCATCCCGAAAGACATCTGTAGTCTATCTGGCCCTAGCCGCTGCCGATCCTGCCTCTCCTGCCGCCACTGCGTCACCCCTTCACTCGCCCAACCCGGCCATAAATCGGCTATCAAACTCGATACGGAAGCTCTTCACTGTTGCTGAGCTACTGCTTCAGAACGGGTTCGAAATCCCCGTAGAAGACTCTCCCTTTCCCCTCTCACCATCTGCAAAACTATACCTGGAACAAAAGAAAGGCCAGCGATCAGGCATCCCGCCGCCGCTGCCCGTCACAGATGGCGCAGACGAGCAATATACCGCTCTCCCTCCCTTACCACAACCAAGTAACGACCGGTCTAGGTCGGACGGCAAGCTTCAGAAGCGCATCAGCACGACTAATCGGTTAACGAAGCCGCCCGGGATCCCGTAGGCCAACTTCACTCGTTGAAGCCGCAATCCTTCTTCTTCTTCTTCTTCTTCCTATCCTGCTTCCCCCTCCTCCCCGGCGCAATGGCGTTTTGGTTTACTGGGCTCGGCACGGGCAGTCATCTAATGAATGGCATACAAATATGATATCCAATTGCATAACAGCGATCGCACCCTCTTTCTTCCCCCCAACCCTGCAACCCCCTTCCTTCTATCCGCGGGACCTCAACGAACCTAAACCCAGAATATACTATGCTTTCGCAGTTGATGGCGTTGGTGTTCTTAATTTTAATTTTTTCTGGATTCGGTGCTTTGGAGAGAGAGAAAGGGGTCTTGGTGTAATGATGATGATTATAAATTTCTGTCTGGGTGGAGGGTGTGTATGGGTGTAGGCTTTGCGGGCTTTGAGGGCTTAAGAGGCATGAAGGCTTGAGGGCTTAAGAGGCATGAAGGCTTGAGGGCTCAAGGGCTTGACGGCTTGAGAGAGTGTTTGTGTCCTGTCCTGGCCTATCCTGTCTGGTCCTGTAGATTGGATATGATATGTTAGTGATGTGTCGAAATCAGGAATTTGATGAGGTTTTCGTGTGCGTGTGTGTGTGTGTGTGTACTAATGATATATTCTCGTCCCCCCCCCTTTCCCTTTCCACCTAAAGTCATGCATATCCAAATGCCCGATTGCCTAATCTATAACCCTACTACCCACATCTTCAAATGCACTTGGCACATCCACATATATCTCCATCTCCATCTCCATCTCCATCCCTAAACCCCCATCTAAAATCACGGCCCTAGCCCCAATCCACAATCTGCAATCTCGATCTATATCCATCCACACCATGCATACCCTTCGAATACAAAAGAAAAAAAAAAGAATAAAAGAGGAGAAAAGAGAGGAAAGAGAGGAAAGAGAGAGAGAGAGAGAGAGGGTGAGAAGAATGCGGGGTGAAGAGAAAAAAGGGTGGGGTAGAACGTGACTTGTGGCTTGATTTGTATGGTATGCTAGGTGGTTATATAGCTTAGTTGTTGTAGTATGTTATACTAGGTATACTGTGTTGCTATTCATTAGGGAGTGGCAGATGGAGGGAATGAATGGATTTGGTGGGTGTAATGCATGTGTTTGATGGGTTTGATGGAGGTGTTAATAGGTGGTATCTAGTATGCTCGTTGCGAGTATAATGTGATATAATATAGCGTACCGTACTATACTGTACACCGCTGTACTATACTATACGATACATTTAATACATCAACGACCACTCTTTCCTAACCCGAACTCGCGTCGCTCCTTCCTGCCTCATTCTATGCATAATTAAAAATTGTATTTGTATTCAAAAGCATGATGTTGGTGTTGGTGTTTGGTCTAGTTCTCACGAATGCCTTCTTACATGATAGTCTGCGCAGAGCAAAGTGAGAGGCACTGTATCTACATGCTCGTCTGCTTGAGTCTCTCCTTACTGACTTCGTCCTTATTTTCTTGTTTTCTCACCAGGACGTCTAGAACGTCCCGAAACACAGACTCCAGCGCGGTGGGAGGGTGGTGTCCACGCTGGTTGTTGGAGGAGACGGGAAGGAGAAGGGGAGGGGCAGATATTACATCATTCGTGTCCTTCTCCCTCCCGCTCTGGGTCGCCGGGTGGTGTTACCGGCCTGGCCTGCCTAGGAAGGTTGTACGGCGGCGAGGGTATTCAGGAGGATCCCCTTCCTCGCGTCGTTGGATCGACATATCCACTTCGATCGAGACCAAAAAAGTCCCGTAATAAATACGCCTGTTCAAGTCACAGATCCCACAACAGCAAGCGGCCAGTCCAGCCAAGACACCCACGAGGGGCCCAATCTGTCAGCAATAGGCCGCACCAGCATCCTGCCAGCATCTCCCACAATCCACACATCCGAGTACGGGTGCAGGAGCGCGGCATAGTGCGCAAGCACGACGAGCGCCTGCGCATTACGCTGCGTGAGGAGGGCGGAGTATTCGTCCGTGAGAAGCGCGGGCCAGTTGAAGAGCATGCTCCGCTGCGAATACGACGATGAGGACGATGACGAGGGGGACGACTTCACGCCTTCGGCATCGGTCGCCTTGCGCGCCTGGTAGTGCTTCTCTGCCACGGCGACGAGATGGAGGTTACGGATGGCCTCCTTGAGCGCCGTGCGCGCGCTCTCGTCCAAGTCCCCAGAGGCGTCCGGCAAGCCCCACAGAGGGTCCAGGAACGCCGTCTCGCCGCCCGGTGAGTTTTCCCCTGTGCTCAGTTCTGCCGTCGCCCGCGCGATGAGCGGCGCGAGTTCGCTCGTGGAGATGTCGTCCCAGGACGTACCGGCGATGGCGCGCACGCCGCGGTGCACATTCATGTAGTCGATGAACTTGTCCAGGAAATCGGGCGTGGCGAGGTTGTCCATGTCCATGTCTACGTCCGACTCCACCCGGTCCGGGCGCACGATGTCGGCCAGCGTGTGGTTGCTCAGCAGCGAGGCGAAGAGCAGCATCGACACGCCTTCGCGGCTGTCTGCTGCCGCGACCGAGTCCTGGAAGGCGGCGAGTGCTTGGGTTTGGAGACGGACGGCCTCGCTGCGGTAGTGCTTGCTCTGGGAGGCGCTGCCGGAGCGGCTCAGGTGCAGTGCTGCGAACGCAAGCACCTCGTACATGAGATATGGCGCTGATGTTGCCTTGGCCATGAATAGCTTGTAGACTTCTGTGTCGACGAGGTACACGCCCATGCCAGACTGAGGCCCCGCCTCGAGGAGGAAGTGACTCAGCAGGTGCAGATGGTCGATTTGAAGGTCCGGCGAGGCGTTGGAGCTGTCATTATGGGGCGAGAGGACGTTTTCGGATGGTGGAGTCAGTGTGGTTGCCGAGGGCGAGGCGGAAGTGGCAGTGGCCTTGGTGGTAGTAGTAGTGGTAGTGGTAGTGGTGGTGGAGTTGGATGCAGGGGTGAATCTGATATAAGTACAAGTAATGCGGGCATGCTGGCAGTTGTTGCATGCTGGCTGGGTCTCGTCGCACTGTATGGCGGTTTGTCAGTCTCGAGGCGGGTTTTGGCATAATAGCCTGTTCGGTCTTTGACGCTGATAGCATGATGTATATATATATATGGACGAGGCCCAAGTCAACAGGGGAACAGGTAACCGGTACAACCCAGAACCAGCCCCAAAGCATATCGTTTTCAGCAACACAAGCACTATAGATCCAATAGCGACGCAAAAAGGGGCATACTGCTGACCTTGATATGACGCCGCTTGCAGTCCTTGCAGCCATGCCTTGACTTGGTATGGGTTCGGCGTGGCATGATTGATAGACACTCTCGACACTAAGCAGCGGGATGGATTTGGCAGGCAGGCTAAGACCGCTCCCGGGACTGTAGTACGACTTGAGACTTGCGATTGGAAATTCTGAGATGATATTGCCGGACGAAGTGAGTGAAAGAAGAAGCGTAAGGCCGAAGAGAAGAGAGATATGAATACGACGCGTACGTCGTTGCTATTATTGGCCGGGAGGGGCTGCTAGCCGTTTAAGACTAGACTGGAGACGCTAGTGATACATGCTAGCCTATCCTGGTTAGTCTGAATGTCACTCCTCAGCTCTCGATATCAACTCTGATTACACATGTAGCCTGTACTTGCACAAGTATATATATATTTCCTCTCTCTTCATAGGATGTGACTCTGAAAATATCGATAACGAGAAACATGGTTGCCAGTCAGGCACGGAGTGCGATTGTACTGGACATTCTCTAGAGACCGTGGTGGCCAGAAGGGGATTAAGTAAGAAGATGACAGCACTCACGTCTGAATGACACCGCAAGACCTCTTAGCAGTCTATCACAGGGGCTACATCTGAGACTGCTGCTCGTCTAGCCATGGTGAGTGAATAATGTTGGAGCTCTGTGTACTAGATCTTGTGATACTGATGATACATCAAAGGTCCATCAGACTCGACAGGAGACTTATTTGACATGACTGGACGAAAGCAGATAGTACAGTGTCGTGAGCCTAGAATCTTTATTTTCTATCCCAACGTCAACTCGAAGACGCAGATCCGCCGTTGCAAGTTCTATGATACGTACGGACGAACGACAAGCACTGTTAGCACAGGAGAGTATGTGATATAAACAATATACACAACCACAACCACAACATACACACACCCACCCAGCCACTCACGCCGCCGAATCCGCATAAAACGCAACCCCATCCCTCCACGCCAAATCAACCTCCACGGCCCCCGCCCCAGCCTCCGGCAACGCATCAACCGTCAACCGCAACCCCGTCGCCGCACTAAACGAATCATGATCAAACAGAATCAAATTCAGCGCACTCAAAATCGAATTATCATACCCAGCAGCCCGGAACTCCGCCTTCTTGGCCTTGACATTCGCAACCAAGACGGGGATGCTGACGCCGACGGAGCGCGTGACAGCGGTGGCAATGGCGGCGCTCTCGGGCTGTGTGAAGGCGCCGGAGGTCTTTGCGGCGTCGTAGGCGATGCGGTTTACGCGGTCGATTTCGGCCCAGCCGTGGAGGATGGGGTCGATGGATGAGGTGGGGGTGTAGGCGAGGACGGCGGTGTTGAGGGTGCGGGTTTCGCGGTCGATGTTGTAGATGCCTTGCTCGACGGCGCGGCCGTTGGAGGGGAGGGATAGGTTTATGGTGTCGGGGGAGGAGGAGGGGGTGGGGAGGCTGAGGGCTGTGGTTGAGAGGGCGGAGAGGGTGGTGGTGATTGTGCGGAAGAGCATTTTTTTTGGAGAGATGGGGAGGTTGTTGTTTGTGGTTGTGGGGTTTTGGGCGGGGGTAAACGAGAGTGATGGTTTCAGGCTTTTTGTATATTCATGTCAAAGGGTTTTGGCTGTGGAGCTATATTAGTGTATGATGCGATGGACAGACGGTGCCGAGGCATATCAGATTTTGGGGCATAAGTTGGCATTTGTTGTGGAGGGTCTTGCCCAGCGAGTGACGCTAGCTTCTGAGGAGCCTACTGTTGACGCCAGACTGAGACTTCAAAGGAGACATCGTATGGGACTTGGGGCTTCGTTATGGCACAATGATGTTGACGATCTATTTGGAATGCACATGTGGTCAAATCAGCGAATGTTCGCCGGCTACCAAGATCCCGCGCTGTGGTTGATCAAGGCTAAATTAGAGAGGACGCGGATCCGAATGCTAAAGATCTCCCTATCTCTCGCGGGCCTACAGGTATGATATCCCTATCATCCAATTTGCATATAGAGAGCGATATAGAAAGACCAGCAACGATGTCAGAGCAGGAAGAAGAAGCCAAAGCTAGCATATACATAGACATTGACAAGTGCAACGTATCGACACGCCCATGGCACAACGCGCCACGATTTAAGAGGCACAATACGCCACAATACGCCACAGTACGCCGCAATGCGCCATGATACGCCATGATACGCCACAATACGCCACACAATACTCAATCACGGATCGATGGAACTGCCAGGTATATATATGTATCTATATGTACAGAGAACAAGAGAAAAAAAGCTGGTGATGGGGGCATCAGGTATGCGTGACAATAGATAACGGTAGGAGGGACCAATATGCTGATGATGATGATAATGATGATGTTCAAAGGGCAGCTATGACCCGGTATTTCTCTCTCTCGTTCGTTCCGGACTCCCCGCCTCAAATCCCAGTATTCTCCATATACATTTCTCTCTATCTCTCCCGCCGAGCACTACATAGATCATACATTATGAAAAAGATGTGCTGCTGCTGCTGGTGCCTGCTGTGGAGAACAAAAGAGAAGAAAAAGCACCTGTATCGGGTGGTAGGATTGGCAGCTATTTACTGCCCCGGCGGCTCTCGACCAGGCTCTCATTAAGGATAAATCTCAAGAAATATTCAAACGTGATGTGATTTTAGCAAAGGATTAGATGCTGTGGCACACTCTCTGGCGCGTACCACTCTTCATTACTGCTTGCGTAGCTTACCACCTACTGGCGTTCCTGTGCGTGACAGGTTCTCTCGTACGCTGGTCGGTGTTCCTCGCCTCTCTAGACTCTCATTGCTTCGCATCTCTCGTATTCGTTGAGCGCCGGCTCCGTCAGTGTGTCGCGGTGGTGATGGCACTTCGTCGACAGGAGATGGCGGGCCTGGGCTTGCACTTGGGATCGGAGCAGTGTTTACGTCGTTATATACACTGCTGCTCCGGGCGCTCTTCGAAATTGTGGGGTTGTAATTGCGCTCAGGCATGTCGTGTACGCCGCTGTACGCCGTACCCGGAGGCACAACGTTGCTGTAATCATTCGTTGCAGCCATGTTCTGGTGTGGCCCCCACACCACAGGCCCAGTACCGTTGTGGTTGCTGGTCACAGTAGACGATCGAGAACGCGTCGAGCGTCCGGTGAAGGCCCTTCGAGGAGGCGCGATGCCCGAGTCCATCCCCCGATTCCCAAGAACTTGAGTCATGGCTGGTGCAGTAGCTACAGGCATTGTTGCGCTGGTGTTCATTTCTGCTTGATGTGGTACGTTGTCTGTGGATGCGACGTTTGCGTTCCTTGCATCGACGCGTCTGCGATGGCGTCGCTTGAGCCATGCTCCCCCAAAACCACCTCCAACCATGGCAACAACGAGTACGACGGCGAAGATGATCCACCCCCAATGCGTCGATATCCTAGATGAGAGTGATTAGCCACAAGCACACAATCATAAGGACGGCCTTGGTTTACCATGACTTATCCTCATTATTTTGAGTCGAATTTGGCGAGGGAGAGTTCGTTGAAGCTGCTCCAGCATTGGCAGACGTAGCGCCAGGATTATTTGTGCCCGTATCAGAGTTTCTCCCACACAGTGTGTTGTATCCGGACTGAATCGCTTGGAAGTCGGAATCGGTCGTGCACACGCTGGCGCAAACAGCCTTTGGGTTCGTGATCAATGCAGCCAGGCGATCTGAATTGCACACGCATGTTCTATATGAGTCGGTATTGCCGGCGGGGACAGCAGGCGGAACGCAGACGTCGTTGGCAGCGTTCAGTTCGGGGCAAGTTGCGGCACAGGCCGGGAGGGACGAGAAGGGAATGATCTTTTCGGTGCTTTGAGCGACGATTGTGGTGGCCAAGATGGCCAGGATGAGGTTCTTCATGGTGTATAGGTATTAAATTGATTTCTTTGTTACGAAGTGTTTTGTAGCGAGGGTGGAGACAGGGTGAGTCGGGGTCTGGTCATCACCGCGGATGCGGCGGAATGTTCGATTACGAGAGCGGTACAATAGCGACAGACTTGGACGTATGAATGGGCGTGAGAACGAGTGAAGGCGACAGTACTAAGCTGTCTGTTGGAAAAAGAGACGCCGACGAAGACGACGACGACGACGAGGTTGAGGAATGTAGAGTGTAGACGGAAAGGAGGGAGCATTCAATGAATTGGATGAGCGGATGTGGCACGCGGAAGTCAGGGAACTTTGGCGCTTGGGGGCTGCCGGGCACTCGGGGCGGACCCACCGCCCAGAACCGCCCTTAACACTATTTACCATTATTATTATCATCATTTTATCATTGTACTAATTATAATATTAGTATGTAGACGCCTGATTCACTTCAGGCACAGCTGACTTACCACAGAACACTCCGAGATTGTTTCGTGACAGTCTCATCTATTCCTGCGTTGGCTGTCGTCGCTCTGTCTCTCCTGGAACACCATCACTTCACGTCGATTCGCGCCCAAGACGGGACAGGACAAGACGCGTCTCGTGTCATCAGTCCACTGTCCGGCTTGTTCCTGGCTGTGATCGGAGCCTATCTGGGGACTTCCGCGACCTAATTTGTTGATTTGGTGGAGACAGAAGTTCATTATTGCTTCTGAATGTGCAACATACCTCGAACTATTATACACACCAGAAGGGCCAGTACTGTCGACTCTGGCCACTAAATGATCTCTTAGCAGCGCACGTTCCGAGCAGATCGCTTTCATCTTTCATCTCGGGCGACACGGACAAAAAAGCATGACGTCTGCAGGAGGATTCCGCTGCTGCAAAGGCCAATAGACCGCTCGTCGCGCCCTGCATTCAACACCAGGGACCAGGCTGTGTGCTTGTGGCCAGGTCTCGCCCTATGCACGCCCGTGACTGTCTTCTTTTTCCCAGTTACCAGATTGTGCAGCAAGTGTCTCGCAGCTCGTGTACTGGGATGTGCGATAGAGTGCATTCTCCAGGCTGGAGCAAGTTCTCTCTGATAGTCAGGGTTCAATCTGATATCTATTGTCCAGATAGCGTCACAGGCCGTTTCAGACCTTTGGAGACAAAAAGTGTCACGGCTGTACTCGCACACTATTATCTGATACACAAACCATTGGCCCCTGTTCAGAAGCTTCTCACTTTCGACGACACGGCGACACGGTGACAGTGAAGTGAAAAGCAACCCAGTGCTGAGTTGGACTGTTTCGGACAATAACATGGACAAGTCCTACTTACCCGCCTGTACTTATCGTCGCTCTTGATGAACTGAGAGCATGTAAAGCCCATTGTCATCACGTGGGTGGCGTATTCGTATTTTGGTAGAGCGGAGAGAGTCTGAGACGTGGGTAGACTGGCACGGACTGACATGCGGTCTACTTCTGTTTCTGTTTCTGTTTCTGTTTTTGTTTCTACTATTAATACCAACTATCTATCTTTGCCGGGCGGAGAGGCCGTGGGGACATGGAGACTGGACATGATGCCTGATAAGTCCCCGTCTCAAGTGTTTACGCTCGAAGGGGTTGAATTGTTTTATATGGCATCTCCATCGAGCTTTGGAGGCTGCTAGGAATGCTTCTCATGCTCAAATTCTACTAAAATTTTATCAAATGTCATACATGTCACTGTCTCGACAGCTGTGCGCCTTTTCCTCTCCCGGTATGGTTTGCTTTCGTTTGCTTTGGTTTGGCGCTTCCCCAGACACTCACTAGACAGTGCGTCCACTGCGGGCCGTGGCAACTAATCATCTATCCCGCAGCCATGTATATATGCACACATGAGGTAGACCAGAACAAGTCCTAAAACAACATCTCCGCCCGACACAGTCTCGACGGCGACGCGCACAGTCATGGCGTCGGGTCAAGCGTCTGAATGCTGACGATGAAGATGATTCAGTCTGCTGATATCTTATCAGCGCTTTGGCATGTCTTCTCCCACGTCCTAGGGGGCCACAACCAATCCTGACCGGTCACTGGTCCACTGCCAGCCCTCCAACGAATCCCTGTGCATCTCCAAGACCTTCTCGCGGTCTTGGGTGTCTCTCTACTCTGCCGCTAATTTTTTCCTCTCCACCAGACCCGTCCTGTCCCCTTCTAGGGCCGTAGGAGACGTTCGGGTTTGTTGCGCTTTTAAAGCTGCTGCCTTACCCCCGTTGATCGCCTTTCGAGGCTTTTGCTTCTGTACTTTTGCAAATCTCTCAGGTGCTGGAGCTTCGAATTCGCTATCATGGCAGCAGCGGACAAGTCGGAGATTGATGCCGGGTCGTCAACAACACCAGAGAAGGACGTCGAAAAAGTGCAATCCCACAGCAATGTCAGCAACAATGGCGTCCCACGGAGAGGATCCGTGACTGTAGATATTATTCAGCATCAAATGTTCGACGGGCAGTACGAGACGACGCAGCGTGGACTGAAGTCGAGGTATGTGGCACGCGACACTCCGAGCGTGCGATCTCCGCTGACTGCATCTCAATTGCTAGACATGCGCAAATGATTGCACTGGGCGGCACAATTGGCACTGGTCTATTCGTCGGTACTGGACAGACATTGGCGGCCGGCGGCCCTGCCTTTCTGCTGGGATGCTTCATCTTCATGTCATTTCTTGTCTTCTGCATTGTGAGCGCCATTGCTGAAGTCGCCGCATATCTGCCCACGCCCGGCAGGTGAGCTATTCTGGAAGTTACAAATCGCAAAAGATATACTGACAGTCTAGTTCCATGAACATGTTTGGTTTCCGCTACGTGTCACGGACGATGGGTTTCTCCATGGGTTATCTATACTTTTACAGCCTGGGCGTCCTCGTTCCGTAAGTTGACGTTCAACTATCCAGCCTTCTGAGTCCTGCAACTAAAGAACACAGCTACGAGATCACAGCCGCCGGTCTGGTCATCGAGTACTGGAACTCCCCGGTGAACATTGGCGTGTGGATCACCATCATGATCGTCGTCATCGTAGGCCTCAATGCGCTGCCCGTGAAATTCTATGGAGAAACAGAATTCTGGTTCGCTGCAACGAAGGTCATCATGATGATCGGCCTGCTGATGGTCTCCTTCATCCTGTTCTGGGGCGGTGGACCAAGCAGAGATCGGCTGGGATTCCGATACTGGCAGCATCCAGGGGCCGTGAACGAGTATCTGGCAAGCGGAGACCGCGGCCGGTTTCTCGCCCTCCTCCGAACCTTCGTTCTCTCAGCCTTTCCGTTTGCCTTTGCGCCAGAGCTGCTCGGTGAGATGGCGCATCCGAGCATCCCCCTGTCTGGAACCAGCTAACCACGAGGCAAAACAGTCGCAACAGGAGGCGAGATGAGATCGCCCCGTCGAAACATCCCGATCGCAGCCCGGCGCTACATCTACCGTCTCATCATCTTCTACATCGGCTCCGTCCTCGCAATCGGCGTCATCGTGCCGTCCAACGACCAGCAACTCACCAACGGCGGCCAGGGCGCAGGCTCGTCGCCGTTCGTAATCGGCATGAAGAACGCAGGTACGTAGCACCCCTTCATCCCGAAACCAAACTCAACTCACCCGCCCAACCCAGGCATCCCCGTCCTCGACTCCATCGTCAACGCCGGCATCCTCATCTCCGCCTGGTCCTCCGGCAACTCCTTCCTCTACCTCTCCAGCCGCTCCCTCTACTCCCTCGCCCTCTCCGGCAACGCACCCAAGATCTTCAAAACCTGCACCAAAGCCGGCGTGCCCTACTACGCCGTCGGCGTCTCCGCACTCTTCTGCGCCCTCGCCTACCTCAACGTCGCCTCCTCGTCCTCGGTCGTCTTCAACTGGTTCGTCAACCTGACCAACACGTCCGGCTTCATCTCCTGGATCTGCTGCTGCGTGGTGTACCTGCGGTTCCGCAAGGCGCGGATCGCACAGGGGATCGTGACGGACCTGCCGTATTCGTCGTGGATTCAGCCGTGGGGGTCGTGGTTTGCGATGGTGGTGTTTTCGTTCTTGTTGTTGATTAATGGGTTTGATGTGTTTTGGGACTTTGACATTGCCGGGTTTTTCACTGCTTATGTGGTTCGTGGTCCCCCCCTTTCCTCTGTTCCTGTCCATTGACCTTTTAATCCCCCATACTAACAACCCACCAACAGGGCATCCCCCTTTTCCTCGCCTTCTTCATCGGCCACAAGATCTACGCCTGGCACGACCCCTGGGCCCACGACCCCATGGACGTAGACTTCCAAACCGGTAATTACCCCTTTTTCCTTCACATCGGCATCCTTCCTTCTTCACCTTACTCCATCTCACCTTCCCCAACCGAAAACAAAACCGCAACCAAACACTAACCATTGCATCCCCCCTAGGCATGGACCTAGTCCTCGCCGAGGAAACGCCCCCGAAACGCACCGGCCCGCTGCCGTGGTATTTGTGGATCAAGTATATCTGGGAGTAGGTCGTAGTTGTCCTTGTTGTTGTATCAGAGCCGAACACAGGCTACGTACGTGCGAGGCGTGTAGAGGTATGTATATATCGCCCATAGCAACGTCCGGGCGCGCTTTAGGGATGAAAGATATACAGCAGACCGGGCGGACGGGCGGTGAGCTTCGTTCTTGGTTGGTGCGGTGCTGCGTGGCTTGGCTTGGCTTGGCTTGGCTTGGCTTGGGTATATATATATGTATGAAATGAAAAAGGACATGAAAGGAAATGAACGAAAAGAATGGGAGGGAACTTTGTCCTATGTGCTACGTGCTATGATACATAGCTATTCTTGGCCTTACCCGCCTTAGCTCCCGCAGACCAGAACAAGGGAGAAAAACGAAAGAGAAAAACTTGTTCTGAATACGTAAGTGTATCAAGCGTACCAAGCGTACCAAGTGCACGAAGCGTACCAAGCAAGTGTGTATACATCTACCGAATATGGTACTGCGTCATGAAATATATATTATAGAATACCAGAGTATTGTCATACTAGGTCTTTCTTATACTGGGTCTTTCTTATACTAAAACAATCCTCATACTAAAAGGTCCTGATACTAAACGGACCTGATACTTATACCAAATAAACCCCCGAAAAAAAACAAGATTATATATATCTCATCTGAATAACTCACTCTTCCAAAGGTAGTAACCTATAGAAGGGTAGGCCAGGTGGCGTAGTGGTAGTGTGCTGCGCTACTGGAAGCGTTGGTCATCCAACGTCGTGGGTTCAAATCCTATAACGGCCACCTTTTCACACACCAGTTTTCGCACGCTCTATTAAAAAGTGTGCGGGGCTAAGCGAGCACGTGACGTGAAGGTTACCGTCATATAACTACTTAGTCCTAAGCGACCATTAGGTAATATGAAAATGACTATACCGTTATTACATGATAAGAATTACCTAATATAGCCACCTACTAAGCCACCTTAAGTGGTAGAGCGACGCCTAGAGCGGCTAGACCTATAACTAGCTTAGCTCGAATCATAGAATTTTCACTATATACCGGGGCCTTATCCACCCTAATCCGGTTTAGCTCGCGCTTACTCCGGCTCGGTAACCACGAAATAGACGGTAATACCTAATTAAGTATCCCGCCTACCTATAGACGATTATATAGCCCCGAAGAATAATTTCCGAATTCGGCCTAGCTAGGGTTAGTACTAACGCATGGACCTATTAGATATATACCCCCTCCGGCATTAGTCATCTTAATTAATAACTACTACCTAGCGTAAAGCTATATTTCTATAGATAGGAAAAAAACACGGTAACATAGGAATAAAAGACTAGGCCTAGCCTAGCGACCTACCTAATTATAAGAAAGGTAATACCTACTATAGTTAGTTAGGGCGTTATTAAGAGCCGGTACTAATATAGTAATAAAAGCCTAATATAAGGATAAGAAGTAAGTTTGTTACCTAATGGGATTCGAGGACTTAGACTAGGCTAGGTTAGATTAGTAATAGGGTCTAGTTAGGGAGCTAATTATAGGAGGTTTTCTTATATATATAGTAGCCAATACTAGAGGAGGCCTGAGCCTGTGGAGCATATATATGGCTATATATATAGTTCTTCCTAGTTAAACACTAATATTATATTATTATTATTATAGAAGGGTACTTATAGAAGAGAAGTATCATGAAGTATATTATTAAAAGAGTTGTAGTATTCCAATCTCCTGTTAGTGCCCGAAGGATGGATAGTTATGTATGTAGAAATTAGATATGAAGATTTTAATTTTTAAAGGATGAAGATGGAGAAAGTCTTAAGGCAGAGCAGAGGGTATAGAGTAACGACGGGCGGCACATAGGGGTGACAAGTGCATGTATCGTCTATACCGTTCCGAAATACTGTGCTTGAGAGTAGTGTCTCTACGTGTATCCATGTATCTGTGTGAGTCGTTATATATATAATAGGTAAGAGGTTGCTAGGTCTGCGTATGAGCTATTATCTCTCTCTATCTCTATATATATATAAATATAATATATAGAGTAGCGTGTTATAGAGTAAAATACCAAAAAACCCAACCTCCTACATGCTAACCCACCACTACCTACACACCACACCATACCACCTACATACATCCACACAACAACCACATAAGCAAACATACCATCCAACACACCCTTCCTCCAAGTCTACCCAATCTCCTCTAACAGAGCAAAGACAGGCACAGAGCTACTACCCCCCTCCCCTACCCACCTCAATAACCCAACAACCAGCCAGCCACAAACACTGAATCGAAACGCACGCACACTCAAAAACAAATTATAAGCAAAAAAAAAAAAGAATCACAAAGTTTCCGAATTCATTGTAATGAATGTCCAGACAGATACAATACATCAAACTCGTATATTTTTTAAAAAAAAAACTGATGACATAAAAAACTACTATTGATGTGTACGTAGGTAGGTAAGTAAGTAAGTAAGTAAGTAAGTAAGAATAGCCAATATTCTATCTCTCAATATAGAAAAAAAAAGACGCCGGGTCTATGCAATATGACGCTCCAATCTCCCCCCCCTGCTCTCTTATGTCTCAGAGATATATGTATATGTATATATGTACGAAGTCTATATATACCAATCAATCCAAACCACCTGCCTACGCAGCCCCCGCACCAATCGCCTTCCCCTTCAGATTCCGATTATCGAAAATCAGCGCCGCAATCGCAATGACAGTCGCGACGCCAGCCAGGGCAACAGCAAGGATATACGCGTCCTTCAGGCCCTGCAGATACGACGCGACAATGCCCACAATCTCGTTTGGCGGGAAGACGTTGCGCAGCTCGGTGGCGCCGGTAGACACGACGCGGAGCGGGTCGATGCCGGGGACGTTTGCGGGCAGGGAGGTGATGAGTTCGTTCTGGAAGAGGGCCTGGGCGGTCTGGATGAAGGCGGCGCCGGCGAGGGTCTGGAAGAAGACGGCCATTGCGGTGGCGGCGGAGATGTCGGCGGGGTCGACGACGGCCTGGACGACGATGATGGGGATTTGGATGGAGAGGCCGGTGCCGATACCGGAGAGGGCTTGGTAGCCGATCCACTCGGAGGACGGGGAGCCGACGGCGAGGGTGTAGATGAGGCCGTTGCCGATGGTGGCGAGGGCGGCGCCGAGGATGAGCATGGGGATGTAGTGGCCTGTTGCGGTGATGATGATGCCGCTCACGATGGTGAGGAGGCCGATGCCGAGGATGAAGGGCAAGTTTCGGATCCCCGAGTCGGAGGCGGAGACGCCGGATACGACTTGGAAGTACAGGGGTACTGGGGAGGGGTGTGTTAGCTGCGATACGAAGTGGCTTTTTGGGGTGGTGAGACTTACGAAAATAGAGGAGGTTGAGGAACGAGCCGGAGCCGAAGAGCTGGAAGGCGAGGGCGAATGAGATGGACTTGTTCTTGAACAGACGGGGCACGAGGAGAGCGCGCTCTTGCTGGTAGAATTCGTTTGCAATGAAGAGGATCAGTATCAGACCGGCCCCGACGAGCAGTCCGATAATGACGGAGGAGTTCCAGGCGTGAGAAACACCTCCCCATTGTAGTGCCAGTAGGAAGCAGACCACGGATCCCATCAATACGAAGGTTCCTACTGGGTCCATCTGGAGGATCTTCTCAAGAAGAGGTGCGTCGAGAGGTTTTGCGGCCGCAGGTGTTTTGAATGTGAACAGGATGATGGCTGCGGCGACACCGCCGATTGGCAGGTTGATGTAGAAACACCATCTCCAACTCAAGTTATCTGTAAAGACGCCTCCTAGAAGTGGACCAATGACTGATGCGACCGCATAGCTATGAACTGTTAGCGGCTGTGTTGTGACTGTAGACTCGTTTGGGACTTACACAGCACCGAGGATACCTGTGAACGCCGCACTCTTGCCGGGAGGTGCAGCGAAAGCGATGATTGTGTATGCCCCAGAGGCAATTCCAGCTCCTCCAGCGCCAGCGATGGCGCGGCCTACAATCAATGTCGTGCTGTCTTGCGCTACAGCACAGATGAGACTGCCAACCTCAAACCAAAAGATGGCGATGAGGAAAGCAGTCTTCAGCGGGAAATACTTGTAGGCCTTGCCCCATGTGGATTGAAATGATGCGACTGTCAGGAAGAATGCAGAGCCGTACCAGCCGACGTCTTCGAGGCTTCGAAACTCATCGGTGATTCTAGGTATAGCAGTGGCTACGATGGTCATGTCGAGTGCGACCTACACGTTGTATCGTTAGCCCAGTCTGTTTTGCGCGATCTGATAGGATGACTTACGAGAAATACCGACAAGACAAGGGCAACAATGATAGCCGTCAACTTCAGCCAGGCACTCCTTGTCGAAGCTGCGGTGGTGGACGGCTCCAAATTCGCTCCAATTGTGGTAGGGTCCAACTTCTCCGCATCTTGTTCGCGCTGTTCGTGCTGTTCGTGCTCGTTGAGGCTCTCGTGTTCTTTGACAGACTTCTCCTCACCGATCATACTTGTGTTGGACGAAGACGTCACGCCGGCTGTGACGTGATGTGGGACAGGCAGGCTCGGATCTTGAAATTGAGTAGCGGACATTGCGATTGAAAGAGAGGTGCTCCCGGAAAATTCCTCAGACTCTGCTCCGATGAGGCCAAATGCGTTGAGAATAGCTGAGACAAGATATCGGGAGAAGTCAGATGTGGATATATATACAGTGTACTCAGCGTAAGGACATAACGGTTTAAGTCCACATAATAATCCAGAGTTGACTGCTTGGATAAGTATGCGATTGGATGTCGACACGGTATTTGGCCCCACGGTCACGGAAACATAACGACACCACAAGATGCCCAACGGACAGGTACTTGTCCGTTGGATGAGTCGACGGGTCGTCAAGCGCGCTAAAAAGGGAACAATCCTTATGATTCATTTGGTCTCATCATGTAAGCCGACATCGAAGCGGCCGGCCGACGCTGTAGTAGTGTCCAGGTATCTACGCGCGGCAAGGTCAAATCTACGCTGACACGGATTTTCCACGGGATCTTCCTTGAAGATTGGATCAGCTTAATAGTCTCGGACCTTGCAGAGCGAGGGCACCAGCACCCATCTAAGAGTTGCTAGAACACAAGTCAATGTAGAGGCGGTGCGGATGCTCTGTTTTCCACGATGCGCAGTACGCCATCACGGTAATGCCAGGGTATCACCACATGCAGCCATGGTATCACCACATCCTGCCAAGACTTCAGCCGCGTTCTGGCAAGCCAAAACAATCCGGATGAGCAGCACGTGTTAACATCGATCTCATTCTCGCAACAGCTACGCTTGATTGATAATGGTGTGTTGACAAAGCGGCGCACGAAAAGCTCCGGGGACAAGGACAAAGGGGCCGATAAAGCTCCCGTAACCCCTTATTGGTCGCGCCAAGCACATCAGCAGTAAGCGGCTCTAAGCGTCTGTTATGCAGGTGGCCTTAACGTTATCCACACGGTGATATGACGATGGCCGGCCTACGCATGTTGCTGCCGATTCAAACTCCGAACAGCATCAGCATCGCCATTGCATGTCTGGTCCGTCCGGACATCGTTTCGTACGATTTGTTTGGTGCGAGTATTTCATGTGAGCAGAGCGATGCTCATGTTACTTTGGCTGGAGACATCTGAAAGGGCTCTCGAACGTTGCCTCAACTCATGGCTTGAGTGGCGCCCTCACAGTCAGAGACTTAATGCTGTATTCAACCACGGAACGCGTTGGACCAAGAACGAGCTGGACCCAGCACGAGCGTAACCACCCCACAGAGTTGGGAACCGTATAATCTGGGAGTAAGTCTTGGAAGGATTTTCGAATAGCAGATCTGGAATGTTGATGTCGGATCACGATAGGGGTGCAAGCGTACTTGAGAGTCATTGGTTGGCCATGCGCCTATCGATCGAAAGATGCGAAACGCTATTTGGTATCTATGCCATTAGCCTGTGATGTGAAAGCCATCGCCAGGACAGTCTTGCATCTTCCACGGCGTCCAGGTCAGCCCTACGTAGGAAGGGCTTGGCATATCACGGTAGTTGATCTACACTCGCTCCATTCGCAGAACTATTCGCAGCTCCATCCGCAGAGTGGAAGCCTTGCGGTTGCTCCACGCGCTGACACCAGCCAAATTCATCCTTGAGCTTGCCAAGTTGAATACCTTTCAGAGTCTGAAGGAGCTTCACGACGACTGGGCCGGGCTCGCCGTCCATACCTTTGTACTCGAACGTGTCTCCAGTTGAGCGCATAGTAACAGACTTTATGGGAACTAAAGCTGCTGCTGTGCCAGCCGCCATCACCTCGTCGAAGCCAGAGAGCTCCTCGTACTTGACCTATGAAATCGTTAAGTAGCTTTCCAGGATTCGTGGAATTCTAATCTGACCTCTCGCTTCTCGACCTTCCAGCCAAAGGATTGTGCAATTTCACAAACAGTAGTGGAAGTGACACTCTTGATGGCAGACTTGCTATCTGGCACAACGATCGTTATGTCTTCTCCATCCTTCTTCACCCCTATGAACCCGGACGTCGAGAACTCGTCAATGGAGGTTCTAGTCTTGCTGTCGAGGTGAAGCGTAATACCGAAGCCTTCCTTACCGGCTTTCTCGCTCCATCTCAGCACAGGGGCATAGTTTCCTCCAACTTTGGCCGATCCGACACCTTCCGGAGCAGCGCGATCGAAATCCTCAAGGATGAGTGCTGCCACAGGGTGCACACCATGATAAACACCCACTGGCAGAACGTACACGACAAAGGTATACTCATCGGTGGGATTTAGCGGTAGCTGTGCTCCTGAGCCGTATAGAAGAGGTCGAATGTACATTGCAGCTCCGGTGTCGTGAGGAGGAACGAACTCGGCATTTAGGCCGACGGCCAACTTACAGCATCGCAAGAAGTGCTCTGTAGGGACTGGTGGAATGCTGATATACGAGGCAGAATGTTGCATTCGTTGCGCATTCTGGTCCGGTCTAAAGATGCTGATCTGTCCACTAGGATCCCTGAAAGCCTTGAGGCCTTCGTAACACTGCTGTCCTGTGGCTGCTTAGTCTGTCAATTGTCATGACCGATGCGGCTTCAATCTACCATAGTTGAGACCGGGTGCAAGTCCATGTACCCGAATGTATGGATCCTGAATGAACTCAGGCTCTGTCCATTTGCCCGTCTTTGTGCTGTAATGGGACTCAATATGACCAGTAACTACGCTGTTATTAGCTTTATTGCTCATGAGATGAGCACGGGCTGATTTCTTCGATAGAGTCAGATAGCAAGAGGCATGTCCAATACGTGATGCACCCAATATCTTGACCCTCACATACTGCATGATCGATAGATTGAAAGATGTGCATACCTTCGCGAGTTCTGAATCCGATATTTGACCAGTCTAAAGTGCGTCAGCGAATGTGCCGCGTTGGTCTTTCATATGTCTCGACAAACCAATTGAGTCTGTCGGCGGCGGCGGAAACGTAGTCGAATGCATCCTGTGTCAATACCACACGCTCAAGTCGTAGAAATGGAGACTGATGCCTATGTTGGAGCTGGACTGACGAGACAAAGAATTTATGACACCACCCTCTCTGTGAACCTCGCCGTGCCGATGCCGGCACGTCCACGATCGGCGACCGGACCGGTACGAGTTATACACAATCTCATACCCACAAGTACGATTTTGATCAGGGGACTTATTACTGATGCATAACAATCATAACTTTGCATTGATTCGCGGACATTTCATCAGTCGGACATGACCTGACCATCACCATGCCCAGCAGGATATCTGCTTGACGGCGTCTTATCTTCATTCACCTCTTGCATCTCTATCGCATTCCTGTAGTCAACAGTCTCGTATCTCCGTGGTGCCACCTCTCACGTTCACAAACCCAAGCTGTACCGCTAGAAGACCATCATCATGGATGTCAAAAGCCCATCGCGCCGTTTCAAAGTCCTGATCATCCTAGCCGCCACTGTACTCTCTATCCTCTACCTCGCATACCCTCGTGCTCAGATCGATCCAGTGAATACCAGCAAAAACCAGCCTTTGAAGACTGCGGAGGGGAAGGGGAAGGCTGAAGAGGTGCGGTTCGAGAACGCAATCGCTCCCAAACTCGGAAACGAAACAGTAAAGTCAGTCTACAATCAGTTGACAATCTGTAGTAGCAGAGCTGACGCCAGTTGCAGAGCTGAACTAGGCCGTGCCGCGTGGAGAGTGCTGCATACGACATTCGCACGATTCCCAGATGAGCCCACGGCGGATGAAAGCCAGGCCTTGAAAGACTATATACATCTGTTCCAGAGGCTATACCCTTGGTATGTGCTTGCGATACTTTGGCGTTATCAAGCTAATGAACGATAGTGGTGAATGCGCGCAACATTTCCACGAACTCCTCAAGAAATTCCCTCCACAAGTGTCATCGCGAACATCGGCAGCAACATGGGGCTGTCACGTCCACAACGAGGTTAACAGGAAACTGGGCAAGGACATATTCGACTGCGCGAACATAGGTGACTTTTACGACTGTGGATGCGCAGATGACGAGGCTGGCGACAAGACGTCAAAAGACCCCTGATCTGGGAGCCTTACTTTGTATACAACATGAACGCATTGCAGGGACAGGAGATGACGTGGCCGAGATGGCTCCTGGCGTTTTTTCGTGGCAACCACGACTGCATGAGTGGGCACACAGGTCGTAGTCGAGCTAGTCAGGAGTCACGACGTAGCGCTATCGTGCCCCTGGGAGTCAGTTGCAGACGCGTACGCAGACGACACATACGTCAAGCAGGGAGACGAGCCTGTTACCATCCATGCTCCTTACGTTGAGTGAGGTACCTTGAAATTATGACGCCTGGGAGTAAAAAGAAACTCTGAAAGTGACCATGTAGGAGTAGAGTGAGAGTTTCTTCATGATATGACAGGATCATGATCATGATCATGATGAGTTCCAGGCTTGGACAAGTTCTCCTAAGATGATTTCATCTGTTGTTCGCTATATAACACGATCATCATCATATGCCGACTAGAGCAATAGCCCTGTCGATCCCACCGCAACCATCCACATCCGAGCAACTAGTCCGAACATCAATGATCGAAGCACTTTCCTCGCGCCCGGCGTCGTCGCAACTGCCTGCAGCACCCCTGCGCAGTCATTACCATCACAAAAACAAAAACCACAAAAAAAACCATGCGTGTCTTCCGCTCAACTTGTATTATCGTCCTCACCAGCGCTCACCTCGCGCATACATTCACATTCACTTTCCCCAGCTTTCCAAACATCCTCTCCAGGCACTACCCCACAATGGCCACCGCCGCCCCACCCAAGGCAGAATACCTGCACATCACGCCCCTGACCGCTACAGACCTGCCCGCGCACCCAGACCTCGCCAGCGCCCAACAACCCACCGGCCAAACACCCACCCTCCACGCCTTCACCACCGCCATCCTCAAGCAAGGCGTCGAGTTCGCAACCTACTACTCCGATGCCTCCATCTTCGTGCCCAAGGGCGACAAGGCGAGTCCGCCATCAACGGCCAAGGTGACGAGTCTGACGGGCAAGAACGTGCCGCGGACGACGGCCAGCGAGCAGTGGTTTGCGCGCCGCAGCGTGCACGAGGATGCGCGGAAGAATGGAACGGCGGACTTTGAGCAGTTTGATGTGGTGCTGAATAAGGATCATAGTCGGAATGAGGACGATTATACGCCCGGGATATATGATGCGAATCGGCTGTTGGCGTGGGAGGGGATCGGGTCGGTGGAGGAGTTTGAGGGGGTTGAGATGAGTGGTGAGTGCAGTCTTTTGTCCGTCTGTGTCCTTTGATCGTCCATTCTGACCATGGACTTTACAGTCTACGAAATGTACCACAAACAGCCATTCCCCATCTCAGACCGCTTCTTCACAACCCTCGTCGTGGCCGCCACATACGCCGAGAAGAAATTCATCGTCGTCCAAGTCCCCGTCGACTCAGCAACCTTCCCAGCAGACTTCGTCGCATCCAAGTCCAACACCGTCGACGGCAAACATCGCAACGAGAAACGCAAGGTCGTACAGGGCCACTATGCCAGCGTGGAGCGTGTCCAGGCAAACGACTCGGACGGCACGGTCACATGGGAGGCGGGTACGGTGAGTTCGGCTGGAGGGTCGATTCCGGATGCGGTCACGAATCTGGCGTTGCCGGGCGAGTTGGCGAAGGATGTCGGGTTTGTGGTGGGCTTTGTGAATGGGCAGGTGTGGGAGGGGCGGGAGAGGCGGTTTGTTGTTGGGTCGTCGTAGGTGGTGAGGAGTTGTATGGCGATGTGTAGATGGAAGTGTGGGCTATAATTAGCTAGGACATTGTACGGCACGTTCATGCAAGATGGCAATAATGGTAATCGAGTTAGGTGGAACGTAATGCTATGAAGGTAGGCACCCAATGTGCATATCAAACAAAGAGTTGCCTTATATCGCAGTCCTCAAGACGCGTACAAAGGCAGTCATGGCGTACAAAGCAGGCAGGTAGGTATGTATGTAGCTAACAACCTCACAACGCCTCCATCCCATTGTTTGTCTAAATGCACGACATAGTACAATATACGTGCATACTTGACTGCAGCAGTATCGATAGTGTCGTTGTGTGTGTGTGTGTCACAAGAGACTGGTGATTGGAGCAGGTACATGGCATGGGCTTTCTCGTCCTTCCCCATCTCACTGACGGCGGCGGCTAGACATAGGTCCGACTTCAACCCAAACGCATGGATGGTCAACGGCACGATCTAGGCTGGGCTACGCTCCCCCTCTCCAAGTCCCCAATCTTCGGCAAGACCCGCGGGCGATTATCTGATGCATGATATGCATGCGTGCGAGTAATGCGTGCATGGCGTGTTTATGAGTTGATTTGAGTGTAGTTGAGTGTAGTTGAGTGCGCAGATCCATGAGGTGTTGGCAGTGTCCATGATGTACATATAGTAGCAACCAGCGTCCAACTCATCAGGGGGTTCGTTCTGTCGCGCAGGACTAATTAATGAACTAGTCGAATCGAAGCCACTGCAAAGGCTCTTTCTCGCGATCGAAAGGAAAGCGTTGTTCTAGAAGAAGAACGGGGCATACTATACTACTGCACTATTAGTTTTGAAACGTTCGTGCTGTGTGGGTACACGGGCACACGGCACACAGCCACGGGATGTTTTAAATTCGCGATGCATGTATGTACAGTATGTGTATGTATGTATGTAACAGAAACGCTCCGGTCGGGTTATGCATGAGCGTTTGTTTGTTGGGTATTGCGAGGCAGAATGTCTGTCTAGATGTTGAGTGGAATATGCTCCGAGACGGTAACACGGGACGAGGCTGGTGTTTGTAGTACGTACAGTACAGTACCACTCTTTTTACTGCCACTACCACTACTACTCCCACGTAAGACGTAAGACGCAAGTAGAGTTGGCATGGTCGCAGACAGACAGACCGTTCAAGGCGCTGGGCCAAGAACGAAAGGTTATTGGGAAGTATAAAGGGCTGGGGCATCGGGGGACTGGGCTTGAACCTTGAACGGTGGTTTGTGCGGTGCGGGCGGCAGTTTCATCGTCGTACAAGGGCATTGGCTCGACGCCGCTTGACGGACACGGCGATGTAGATGGTTGTGTAGTAGTATGTATGTATGTATGTAGCAAGCAGTGCGACATTGGGGAAGAAGCACGATCATGGTCGATATTGGGGTTTGTGCGCAGAGAGCGATAATGGTGGTGGTGGTGGTGTGGCAAGATGCGAGAGGTTGTGGATGAGGAAGTTGGGAGGGCGGACTGTACTGGACTGTACTGTATTATATTAGCTAGGTACAGTGTGTAATGGTGGAAGGGCTAAAAGGACGCGCAAGGCAATGATGAGTGAATAGTTGGGACTGATGGACAGGGGAATGTTGATGGTGGTTGCATTGCATTGCGTTCCATTCCCATCTGGCGGGTGGAGGTGATTAGGTGGCAGGACAGGCCATGCAAAGCACGAAATGGCGGGCGATGCAGCCAAAGAACGTGCCTGGACGTTGCCTGGATTGGGGGCTCAAGAGGCTTAAAAGAGGGCTTGAAAGGAGTGCGGAGGTGCCTGAGCTGGCTGACCAGTCACCAAACAGAACACACCAGCCGCCTTCCCTGCGCGTTCATGATAACTTTAATTTCCTCCTGCTCCTCCTCCTCCTCCCCTCTCCCACTCCCAAATACCTCATCCTTCATCTTCCTCGATACGATAGTCGCTCGCATCATTCTCCCCCCCAACCCCCGCAGCAGACTGTGTCTTCTCTCCAATATACACTCCCGTTTGACGGCTCTGCGCTGCTCTGCCATCATCCTGGCTGTTCCGGTCTGGCCCGCTCCCTCGCCGTAGCTATACTTTATAGCCATCTCCCTTTCCGTCACTGGCACCAAAACCCGTCCCACGGTTCACCACCCGCTCCCACTGCCTGGAACTCGGCGTCATTGACCTGCAAAATCTCTCAGCTATCCTCCATCCACATCTTCTACGTCTCAATTCATCCTCGATATGTCAAGATTCTTCTAAATTGCTTCCTCATCCCCCCCCGTACCTTCTCGGGACCTTCAGAGCTGCGCTCCCCTTCATCAAGCAGACTCGATTGAAGCGTCGGCCTTTTGCCAAATCTTTCGAGCCCTGCTTCTTCTTCTTCTTCTCTTCTTTCTGAGCACTTTTACGCCGCACACTTTTACTCTACCTTCGCAACTTTGATTCGCAGCAACATCATGTCGTCCGCAGACGAGAAGACCACCTTTGGTGCCGTCGTTGAGACCCACCTCTCCCGACCAACTCCCCAACACCTCGACACCACCTTCTCGCAAGCCTCGCCCATCTCCAATTTCAATTCGCTTCCCACCACTCCGACCAAGCTTGACCACGACCCGGCGAATCCCTACTTTGCAGGTCACAGCAATGGAACCGAGCACGGCGCGTTCAGCAAGACGCACCTCGATGCCTACGCCAGCGACGTCGAGGCTGGTACGCCTCTTTCGACCGCTACAACTGTTCAGCTGAAGGGCTCAGTCGATGGTCGACTCAAGGAGTGCAGCAAAATGAGCATGTGGCCCTCGAAACAGTCGCTCATTGCCGATGCCAAGGCTGCGAAGAGACAGCGCCGCTGTGGAGGCCACGACCCTATGAGGAACCTATCCAAGAAACAGAAGCTCACTGCGAAGATTCTCATTGCGCTTCTGGCAGTTGGCCTGGCTGTCGGCTTGGGTGTGGGCATTAGCAGAGCTGTGGGTGGTGGCATCTGGTCCGGCGATCATAAAACAAAGTATATTCCTAACGATCAGGGCCATTGATGATAGGTATGTTGTGCTCCTGGACATCTATGGCACGCCCGACTGACCTGTGTCATAGTACTACCGACTTGGCCATTGAACGGCATCTTCTCTTCTTTTTCGAGCCAATACTTTAGAGGGTTCATTCTGGTCGACTTGTTATTGTATACCAAGTCGTTCTCAAACGGTTATCTCGACTTTGTTTGGCATTCTAGCCTCTCGTCTCTCGTGTGTCGCCCAGAGTCTGTCGCCAACCAGCGTCACTCTGCTTGAACACACTACTCGCGCATATCAAAAAGAGGCGTTTAAGCTTTATTAGTTGGTGGACAAGGCTCTTCCGGCGCAATGCGGTCTTCCACATCCTCCTACTTGTGAGGCTCCTTGTATATAGGATTTGCGGGCGTTCTCAACCATTGGTTCAGCATTTCATTTGTTCAGGACTATGCAGGAAGCATAAATTAAGATACTCAGTCTGTTGTTAGTCACACAGACATCTGGCAGGACTGCGACTGGAACGAATCCAGCGCTCATAGAGCAGTCTTGTAGTCCATTCATCGTTGAAACGCGCACAGCCACCCGTGCTGGCGTTTCTTATTCGATTACATTTAATGAATTTGCTCTTTTTTTGCGTGCTGCCGTGATTGATCTAGGATGAGTAGAGACTTGGAATGCCAAATGTCGTCTTGTGAAGTTACGCACCGCAAGTGGTCTGGAATGGCGACGCCTCATTTGTGGCTGTTCTCCAAAAACGTGGTGAGGCTGTGGGGGAGCTAGCCACGTGCAAGTGTGTCATTTTCGCGACAACCTCACAGCTGCCGTCGTCTGAACCACCAACTACCACTTGCCTACCGTTCCACACCTTTCCAATTGTCCTTGCAAACTTCCTGGACCATGGCGGACTCTCAGACTGTGGGCTCTGCCACACCGAAACGATCGCGCGACGAGTTCGAGAAGGACGGAGCAGTCACTAATCCTGGAGACGATGGTAGCTATTACTTACTTGCCCATATCCTCACAGCAAGACCGCACCCTAACAACGTACACAGACGACGCATCCTCCTCAGACGACGACGATGACTTTGGCCCCGCCCCCCTCGCTGCGACCGCACCGCCAAAGAAGAAGCGCAAACTGCCCTACCAGAAGCTCTACGTTGCCGCCCTGCCCAGCTCAGCCCGCTACTCGCGCTCGCTCATGCACCGCGACCAGCTCTCCTTCCTCACCCTGACCCCGCACTCCGACTTCCTCATCACCAGCTCCGTCGACGGCATCGTCAAGTTCTGGAAGAAGACGCCCGGCGCGCTCGAGTTTGTCAAGGAGTTCCGGAGCCATGTGGGCGAGATCAGGGCCGTGAGCGTGAGCGTGGATGGGCGCAGCTATGCGACGTGTGGTGCGGATAGGAGTGTCAAGATCTTTGATGTCGCGACGTTTGATCTGCTTGCCATGTTGAAGCTCGAGTATGTGCCTGGGTGTGTGTGCTGGGTGCATGGGGGAAAGGGGGCGAGGTTTCCGCTGCTTGCGGTGGCGGATGCGGAGAGTGCCGTGGTGAGGATATATGATGGGCGGGGCGAGAATCTGGAGCCGCTGCATGTGATTGGGAGTTTGCATAGGAAGCCTGTGACGCTGATGGCGTATAATAAGGAGTACGACTGTGTTGTCTCGGCGGACGAGGGGGGCATGCTCGAGTACTGGCGGCCGAGCGGCAGCTACGAGAAGCCCGAGAGCGTGTGGCAGATGAAGAGCGCGACGAACCTGTTTGAGTTCAAGAAGGCCAAAGCCGTGCCGACGTCGCTGACGATATCCCCCACCGGCACCCAATTCGCCACATTCTCCTTTCCCGACCGCAAGGTGCGCGTCTTCGACTTTGCAACCGGCAAGCTGCTCAGGACATACGACGAGTCGATCCAGACGATCGAGGAAATGCAACAAGCCGGCACGGCCGCCGCGCGCATCGACGACATCGAATTCGCCCGACGCATCGCCGTGGAGCGCGACCTCGACCAGCCCGCCGTCCGAACCCGGCTCAACGTCGTCTTTGACGAAACAGGCCACTTTATCCTCTACGGCTCGCTGTACGGCGTCAAGGTCGTCAACACGCTCACAAACAGGGTCATGAAGCTGTACGGCAAAGACGAGCCCTTTCGCGCCCTCAACCTCGCCCTCTACCAGGGGCAACCAGACAAGAAAGCCGTCGTCACCGTTGAAATGGCCGCGTCCGAGAATCCGCTCCTCCAGGAAGCCGAGGCGCGAGACGCCATGCTCGCCGCTACAGGCGCCGGCAAAGTGCGCTTCTACATGTTTACCAACGTCTCCGAGTAAGCCCCCTTGCATCCCTCCCTCAAACCCAATCCCCAAGCCCAACAACCTAACCCTCTAAAAACCAACAGAATAACAAAATCAACCCGCGACATCCAAAACGAGAAACCCACCCCGCAATCCGCCCTGTCCCTGTCCCTGTCCAAACTCCCCACAACCCAACCCCCACAAACAGGCACAACCGCAATCCTCCACACCACCCTCGGCGACATCACCCTCCTCCTCAACCCCCTCGCCGCCCCCCTCGCCGTCGAGAACTTCACCACCCACGCCCGAAACACATACTACAACAACACGCCCTTCCACCGCATCATCCCCAAATTCATGATCCAGACCGGCGACCCCCTCGGCGACGGCACCGGCGGCGAATCCATCTGGGCCGGCCCACCACATAATAAACCCTACTTCAGAGACGAGATTGCCCTTGATGTGCTGCGCCATGATCGGCCGTATACGGTTAGTATGGCCAATTCCGGGCCGGATTCGAATGGGAGTCAGTTTTTTATTACGACGGGTAAGGCCGAGTGGTTGGATGGGAAGCATACTGCTTTTGGGAGGGCGGTTGCGGGCTTGGATGTTGTGCATCGGATTGAGGGGGTGAGGTGTTGGAGGGAGAGGCCGGAGGTTGATGTGCGGATTGTGGATGTGGAGATTTTGTAGGGCTTGCTTGCTTGGAGAAGGGGGGGGCTTGAGGGGATGGGTTGAGGGGATGGGTGGGTGTGTAGATGATGATTCATATTTTAAATCTTGAAGAGTATGATTGATTTTCATCCAGACAGTTACCTGACCAAGTAGAGTAGAGATTCGTGTAACAGACAAGTTAGGCTACCACCCACCACTAACTCACGCACTCAAAATACACAAAAATCCCAAAACCCGTAGGATACATCTCCAACAAAATATAACATCAAGCACTGCCCTGCCCCAATCAATCAAACCCCAAACCCACTCCCCCTCAACCTCTCCCCAAGCGCCCGATACCGCCCCGCACGCACATACGCCGGCACCTTACCCCACACGTCCACCACCCGCCCATCACACTCCAGCCCTTCCTCGTACAGCAGACAGTCGAGGATATGCTTGCTCACCGTGCTTTCGGCGAGGGGCTTTGTGGTGGTCTTTGTGGTGGTGGTGGTGGTGCTATTACTGTTTGTGGATGTGGATGTGGAGGTGTTGTTGGTGATGTTGGTATTGTTGCGGCGGCGACTCGGCAACAGGGCGGCAATGGTGGCGAGGGGCAGTTTTTGGTGGTGCCAGAGAGAGTAGATTTGGAGGCTTGTGGGGGACGGGGAGGAGGGGGAGGTGCTGCGGAATTGGAGTTGCCAGGCTGTGGCGCGGAGGAGGGTTGTGTTGTTGTCGTTATCGTTGTCGTTGTCGTGGTCGGCGGCGGAGCTGGGGGGTTCTGGGTCCGTGGTGCTGTCGGTGTGGGTGGATGGCGTGGGAAGGGCGGGATAGTCGATGCTGTCTGGAGAGAGGTGGAGCTTGTCCATGTGTTTGGTGGCAGATGCCACTGCTTGATCCTCGTCTTGGTCCTCCGGGGCAGTCTCGTATTGCTCGTCGGCGGCGTCTTCGCCATCTCCTTCTTCTCCATCGCCCACCGCTGTAGATGCCGACTCTACTGCCTTCTTCGTGGTCCTCGGCTTGACGGGCTTGATCACAACTACGCCCTTGGGAAGCTGGATCGCCAATTTCAACTCTGCAAACGCAGGGCGGGGCGGGGCCGGTCTCATCGCCTTCCTCTTCCTTTCCAACACATCAAAGAGCCTCAGACCGGCATACGCATCCGTAGCGGCGTATGCTGCTTGCTCGTGGCTGAGCGGTTTGCTCCAGTCGCTCTCTCGCACGGCGCCTTTGGCTAGTGGCAGTTGGAGGTGCTCTTGGACCTGACTTGCCAGCGACACGAGTTTCTTGTTGACCTGTGCCGGGTCCGTGGTGGAGTATGTGATGATTTTATGCAGGTGACTCAGTTCAATTAGACCTCGGGCTTCGATGCCCAGATACTTACGCAGCCGCGTCGTGTCAGCAGAGATCGCCACGCCCACCTTTACAGTTGCATCAGACTCCAATATCTGCTTCAGAGAGGCGGGCAACAGATCGTGGTCCTTGTCCTTTGTACTGGCCCAGAGGCTGATGTGGAAAAGTCCAACGCGTGTCTCGCTGGCGAGCTGGATCAGCGACGCGTTGTCTCGCGCGCCGGCTGTCGGAAATGCGTTTGGTTTCCACTCGATATCGAAGCCGAGAACCGGCTCGTTGACGAAGTGCTTGAGAGCGTCCTCTGACACCTTCTTGTTCCTGCAGTAATGGACAAGGACTTTTTCGTCATCCGGTCCGCGATACAAGCTATGACTGTAAAAGGCTTTGGATAGTGTTGGAGAAGCGTTCATGGCTTCGTAGAGGGACTCGTTTGGTATTTGATACTTCAGCGCTTCATGCTCTTCCTCGGCCTCGGCCTCACTTTCGTTCTCGCTCTCGTCCTCCCCTTCACTTTCACTTTCACTTTCACTTTCACTTTCGCTCCCACGATCGCTCGCGCTCCCGGATTCGCTTTCCATGTTATCGCTGCTGTCTGACTCCGAAGAAATATATTGGGAGCCTTCGTCTCCACCATGGTCATCATCTGGTGCTGAAACAGTGTCGTTATCCTCGGACGAAGTGGGTGCGCCAGAATCGCCATAGCCCTGTGTGGACGCTGTGCTGTCGTCTGGTGATCCAGTGGAACCAGTTCCAGGAGTGTGCTCACTGCTTTCGGAGCTCACCGGGTCGCTTGCGCCAGCGCTCCGGGCCCGCGTAAGGTCCTTATGGTCATGAGTGTCTGATGGTTTGGTGGAGTCAAATGTCGTCGTTACCATATGGCGAATCTCGTTATCCGATCCGGTATCAGCATCGCTGGCAGTAATCTGCTCTTCATCTCCTGCGTCCTGCAATAACAGACCTCCTACACTAATAGAGTGGTGTGTTTCAGCCTCGAACTCGCCAAATTCATCGTCTGAAAAGCTCCGACGACTGCCAGAAACTTCGCCGTCGTTGCGTTTTTTGGTGACACTAACGGCCTTGCTGTCGCCGACATCTGCACGCTCTTCATTCTCCAACATTTCCTCAGTTTTCTGATTTATATCGTGCATGGAATCAGCGTCATGGCCCTTTCTCGAGTACCTGAAGAGATGGCTTTCAATATGAGCCCGCTGCTTTGGATTCTTTTGCATTTCCTCGACCTGCTGGTTGATGATGGCTCGCGCCCGAGACTTCCCACCGCGATCGCCGAGTGTTGTGTAATAACTCATCCCCGTTAAGGCACCGGAGAGAAGCGCCAAGGTACCTGGAACGCGGTCGTGTTGTCCTCTGGTGCCATCGGTTTCGATCCACAGATGGTGTCGGGCAGGTGCACGGCGGGGCGAAGGACCAGGTCTCGTCGAGCGGAAAACAGAGGTGTGTATCGGGGACAAAGAGTAGTTACATGTGCTGTTCTCGTTGTCAGTGGGCTTTCAGTATATGTAGAACCGAGGGATATACATGTTGTAGCATCGTGTCTTGCTCTGGTCACGGCGCGTGGGAAGGCGAGCAGGACCGGACACACAAGCCGCCATTGGAGACGAGCACCGCTGGATTGCAGGGCGAGTATGGTAACATAGTGCTGTGCTTTGGCGGTGGGAGAGCATCACACTCCATTTCAATGACTGTGCTGGCAACAGGCAGCAGCCGCGTTCGACGAGTGGAAGAGGTATTGTAGATGTTTCGTGACGCGCCCCGCGTCCTCAACCATTTTCCAATTGGGAGTCGGGAAACTTGCGGCCAAGAACCAAGCACAGGGCAGGCATCCGGGTCAGGTGGCGGCGCTTAATCGGGGCCGCAGACCCACAAGAATGGTCTTAAGCTGTGAACGACATTGGATAGTGTGACAACTGCTGTTGGATGCGTAGGTTTATAATATAATATGAATGGACTACACCAGTAGACGATGATATACGCTACGTACAGAGGGCATGACTCGGGCTCCTTTTGTAGAACGATTGGTGCATATCAACGGCATGCTAGAGTAGTACAAGAGGGCCCACCTTAAGAATGAGCCTGGTATTAATGTTTCCTGTCCGAACTCCTTGCCCTATATTACAAAATAATCACAGTCAGCTCAGGCGATATTGCCTGCGAGCCCAATGAACAGAGCCTGGGCTGCAAGCTGCAGCGTCCAGATTCCAACCTTTTTGAACCTTCGTTTGCGTGAACGGGCATCGCTTGTAACGTCGCGAGAGAAAGCATCGTAGACCTTGTGAATGTTAGCAGATACCCTAGCAGAAATTATGGGCTCAGGAAGTTATACCTCGCGCGACAGATCCTCTATCAACCCACTGTCCCACGTCGTCCATGCTCCATTGAAGTCGCTCAATTGCTTTACAATCCTGCAGTTGACAGGGATAAAAGTCCTCTTCGAATTGATATATGCCACGATAGGCCGTATGAGAGCGTTATTGACGTATGAAATGTCATTAGTGAAGAGCGGGACGGCGGCCCTCACGTCATTGAGATGCACTCGAAGATCCATGACAATGAATCGTTTGTCGTCATCGTCATCTGATGTCTTTAATGTCGGCTCGTCTGTTTGGGCAGCCAGATGCCCACTTGCGTCTTGTGGATTTGGAGCAATGAACCTGTGACCGTTTGACGTGACAGAGGCCTCCATGCGATCGTAGAAATCGGACATGACCTTCACGATACTTCCGTCGTGCTCTGCAGGAAGCATGATATCTGCAACAATATCGACGTTACCTTCGTGAATCCAGGAAAAGGTGCCTTCTACGCCTCTGTTTAGATGGTCAATATTAAGCCCGTCGATCCTAACACGGCTATGCTTTTTCCAAAGACCTGATTCTGTATCACGGCCTTCGCTCAGCTGAGTTCCAGTGTAATTGTGCGTCTGGCGAGGATGAATAGTGAATAAAGAGTTGTCGTATGATCCAGACATCATGTTGGCCGACATGAAATCATAAAAGAGCCACTGCTTTCTGAGTTGTGGCAAGTCACATGAGTAGATGCTCACTGGGAATGGTCTGAAACCATCAGGCTGATATACCGTGACCAGTAAATCTTCAAGCCTAAACGAGTCCAACTCAAAGTCTCCGGGATTATGCTCATGTCTGTATGATTTAGGATCGACGGGTTCCGTCAATGGTCGAACGTATGTTCTGTCGATCACACCTCGCACCCCTCGGACTTCTACATCTTGTAGTAGGCCCTTGCCGTTGAACCACTTGGCAAAAGAGAGGGTCACGTTGACCGTATCGATTGATATGTCGAATTGGGTGTAGTTCGTATCCTCTTCCTCCTCTTCCACGCCATCCTTTTCTCTTTGTGTGGCCGCAAGAGCGGCCTCCGCGGCGGATGATTGAGACCCTTTGGATACATTTGCTTTCCCCTGCCCAGGTCTTCGCGAGACAAAAACCTTCTGAAAGGATATAACACCGTCTTTCCATTTTGGCACGACAGCAGATTCGAAAATAACCTTGATCCCAGATGACTGCGTCAAGTAACCACCAATCCAACGCGCAAGAGTTTCTGTTGACGTTTAGAGTTGAATAAAGCAATCACGAAACAACATACCCTGTGCAAAGACTGTATTAACAGTAATGATAGCCAGTGAGAAGAACGTCGTTGTTCCGAGCACAATCCAAAGAACGTGGCCCAGAAAGATCCAGGAGAAGAATCCGGACATCTCGTCCAGAGTGTAGGGCCGCCCGCTTCTTATAGTGAACCATTTGAAGCGCAAGCTTAGGCGCTGCCAGAAGCCTGTCGCTGTCGCAAGTAGCTCCTCCTTTGTAGGACGATGAAGATGTGGAAAGCGATTTAAGAGGCCACTGGATTGGTCGTCCTCGGTATTTTCATCTTTGCTCTTCTCGGTATCCTTGACTGTTTTCTTATGCCCTGCTCGATCTGCATCTTTGCTTTCTCTATCGGTACTAGACCATCTCTTTGTGCTAGAAGTTGTCTGCCATGATGTTTGTCGTACGTCCGTCAATATCCGGCTTCTCCAAGCTGTGGTTGCCAAAGCGGCTGTGCTATCCTCACTCCGAAACCTCGTAGTGTTACACCTATGCGCGACAAGCCGGAATGTAGCTATCTGGACCAGCGGAGGAAGTGCTTTGCGTTCGAGGAGAGAAGAGGCGCGCGTCGCGATAGAAATGAGTTGACTGGAACGCGATAGAGGCAGGTCAGCGAAATTTCGCCATAGTGCTCCGCCGGCACGATATCCAGCATTGCGACTCATTGTCTTCGTGAGACGGTCATGGCGATGTGGTATTCAGAATTCAGAAAGTTGTGGCTGGTTTTGACGAAGCCAGAGAAGTGTGAATTTGTCACCCGTGCCACACGATGTATTAATGGACGAGGGCTGTCGCGGTTGAAATGCAGATTAACAGCGGAACCCGTAGGAAGGAAGAAGAAATATAAGAAGTATTATGTGAACAATTCGAGGAACAGGACGTAGTAGGGCGATCTGCAAGTTCAGATTCTCGGTTTCTTAACCCTGGCAGGTCAACGATGACGATGGATTTTAGCGTCGGAAATACGGGTTCCCTACAGTACCGCGGGCGTAAACCTCAACTTGACTAAGCATAGATGCTGTCCATGGATTTAAATGACATGCATCGACAACTTTTCAGGGAGACAAGATTAAAAGAGTATTTTTATACAGTGGAGATGAACCTCTATGGCCACAAAAAAAGACAGAAGCTTCATACGCATCGCTCTTATGCGAGGTCTGCTCCTCAAAGTATGAAACGCATAATTGTTGCGACAGCAGACACCGCCAGCCCCAAGTTGATGCCCTATGTCATCAGTGTTGATATCATCCCACGAGCAATCGAGTGCTTCATCCCAAAACGCCAGATAAAATCCCTGCCAGACATAACACCATCAGGTCAGGGGAAATAAGTTCCATGCAGGCTGTTCTGCACGCCATTATTCGGCTGGCTGCCTTGACCATTAATACCGCCTGCGCCGCCCATGCCCATGCCCATACTATTCGCATCATTAAGAAACCAACTCCAGTCTTGATCGATGTCCATGGCGCCCATGCTCCATGGATTTGCAGCATTGGAGGCAGAGAAGGTGCCGAGCCCGTCTTCCCCGCCGATCGACGACGCCGCTTGGTTGGCTTCGAGGTTGTTAGGCATATAGAAGCCGTCATATACTAAGAACGGATCATGCATCTCAACAGCTTTGCCTGTGTTCCTCGCTGTGGAAGGTGAGATGATAGACGGAGTCGTGGCCGGGGTAGAGCTCGGCTTATGAAGATGATTCAAGTTGTTGTTGGGATATACGGTGGGTGAGTTGGAAGAGTTCATGGATGGTGGTGTATTTATTGTCGAGTTTGAAGCGGAGGGAGTTGATAGAGGATTGAAATTTGAGCCGCAGCGTACGGAGATGGTTCCAAAGTAAGGAATGATGATCCTGGCGGAATGCGACATTGTTTTGCACGTAGACATGTCCATGTGACGGACCGTACTGAGCTGCTCCAAGACCTTGTAGCTTTGTGCCGCGACCTTCCCGCCTTTCTCGTCGGATGCGCGCTGGAAAATGTCCATGCTTATCTCAATCATACGCCAATCGGTTTCCTCTTGCAGAGGATTCGGGACTGCACCCAATCTACCGTAGCCGAGCAGACCAAGTAGAACGAGAATAGATGCCGTGAAACCAAGGAAATCTACAGCTTTGCACTCATACAGAGGTTGACCTGTACCGGCACGAAGTAGGTGGTAGAGTCGTAACATCTCGCGAGCACTGTTGAGACACGTTGTCCGACTGTACTCGTATCGGGGATTGTTGGCGCTCTGAAGCATGAACGGCAAGTGAAGGTAGACTCGGATTTGGTGGTACGCCATCTGCGACAGCAATTTCTCTTTCAATACAGCAGCACCTACTGGTCGATGGATGTCAACAACGTCTGCCTCCAAAGCAGCGGTGTCCCACCACCCGGGAGGCACTAGGCTTAAAACCCTTTCCAGTTCACTGTCGATGTCAAGAGTGGATGAGAAAGAGGATGGAGCGGTTCCTTGGGTCCGATCGATGACTTTACCGGCGAGCTTAGAGATTGAGGTAAGGAATGCAAAGGGCGATTGGGTGTGGTCGGCCATGGCACCCCGAAGTTCGAGATCACAGTGCAAGTCAGGTATACCATAGGGAAGGCCTAGTAGGAGACTGATGAAACGATCGCCCTGATATAGTACCCACCATATACTGTCACGCTCAGGGGACATGGAGTGGTTGCGATGGAGACCCTGACAGCTGATTAGCAGAGATTCAACCATATACCAACCTAGAGATGTATGCACTTACGATCAATTGCGCATATGCTAGGCCTTTACGATAGCAAAGCCACGCTTTCCGGGGCTGGCCAATGTCTGCATAGCATTTCGCCGCAAGGATCAGGCACTCCATGCCTTCCAACGTTGAACCATATTCATCATCGGCAAGAACCTCTCTCTCGACAAGAGCTAGATACTTCTCGATATCGTCTTGATCCACACTTATGCCAAGACCCAGGACAAGAAGGCCAAGCTGGGCAGGAAGGCCTTTAGTTAAAGCATCTGTGGCGAAGTCGGATAACGTGGCATATTTAATAGAGGTACCTGGACACTTTTGTCGGAATGTCGCCCACCAGTCCCCATTACGGGTGAGTAGTTCGACGGTCTTATCATATGAAGGCAACGGAGCCAGCAGGGCACGTCTTGTACGTTCGTATTTTTCTTTGGTGGCTGTTGATTGAGGGTCATGGAAAGTCTCAGGGGGTCTGCTTGGCTCGGCGCTCCAATCGAGGATAGGGCCCTTACTGGCATCAGAATTGTCGACATACTTCTGTCTGACTGGCATGCATTCGCTCAATGAAGTATCATTCTCATCAGCTCGACTGATCACGTCGTTGTTGAACATTTGTAAGAGAGGGGCATCCTTATGACTGTGGCTGACATCGGCAGCAACAGATACAGGTGGCGAATGAGGGAATGGCTCGCCCTTGAGGTTCCTGAGAGCTTCTGCTGAGGGCCGAGTGGTCCGATCTGTCCTATCGTCCCTTTCGTTCAAGAGGGTCTCAACCAAAGCCTCCAACCTAGAGACACGTTCACGTAGGTTTTTACGTTGATCAACAATGGCGTCAGCGGAAGCATGTTCTTGATCGATACATTTAGAGCCACGTGCGAAGCATTCTGTACAAATTTCTGGATTGTCTTGTGGGAAAATGCATCGTATCTTCCGTCTTCGACCTGTGGCAAGTTTTAGTAGCGGCCCGTGAGAGATGACCAAGACTAGTCAAGGTAAGGACAGGGGCCTGGGTGCAAGGTATATATCTTAATGCGCTGTAGATTTGCAGACGCGGACCCAGCCGGAAGGCCTGGTAGACTGTATTGGGATATAAAGAGGAGTGACTTACATTCGAAGCAACTATGTGTTCCCTTTCTCATCTTACGCGCCTTCTGGTCTGGCGAGTGTGACCTTTGAGGTGGCATTGTGCCACTATCAGATATTACCAATCTTGCTGATGCGCCGGATCCTTAGAGTGAGCGACGGGAATTCGTCCTGAGACCTGAGAGCAGAAAGGCCAGAATCCGGACGAAGCTGTACATAAGATTAAGAAAGAAAGCGTCCAACAGTCGAAAGGTAGCGAAGTATGTGGAATGGCTTCTTCATCTAAGGGGCTAGGCACCAAAGTATTGCGCAGTCATGGAGAGTTTGGGGATGCTGATTGCTGATGCTGATCCACCGACTCCGTGCCTCCCGGACGAATAACGGACGGGTAAAGTGCTCGACTATGCCAAACTCTTCCTTACTTGAGGAACATATGGGCTAATTATGTACACTGTTTTCACTTGCTTCAAATCTGCTATAACATCCCTAGTCGGTCATTCACATTTCCCTCCCCACTGCTGCCAGTGTCGTAGACACTTTTGAGAAAACCTGAAGTGCGGTCTAGTATTGGTCCGACTCGGACTTCTCGCAGACACAGTCAAGCTAAACTAGATTGGGTAAGTATGCGAGAGATTCAAAGCTACGTAAGGTAAGCCTGCGAGGTGAAGTTGCAACTCATCCTGACTGATGTTGTATCAGCCAACGATCGAGTATCAAATGAGACGTCAAAGGATGCGGAAGCCTGATGCAGACCCTGCGATACGTACCACGAGCTGAACAATAATGCCTCAGCATCCGCGTTTCCATCACACAACATGGACCAACAAGGGCGCGAAACACAATTCCGTCCGCCCTGTCGCCATCTCCAGACATGAGTCTGGGCCTGGAAGTTGGACGATACCAACAACAGGAAATCCCCGGCGTGAATTGTGAAGCAGTGAAGCCTGTATCAGCATTCACCACGAACAACGGCTTCAGTATAGCACAAGCCAAGAAGCCACAAGATCATTTCACAATCCAAGAACACACAGCCGTCTGTCCCTGCATGCATATATTTACTGTCACTCGTTCGTATAGCATGCACCCATACGTAGTACCTTACAGTACGTACCCACTCAGCCGCAGCAGCGCAAGCCTCACACCAGGATCCAAAGTTGGACCCACAAGGCAAAAAGACACGAACCCGACGAGCGAAGCCGAAACGAAGGCGTCAACCCGGCCGGACTGGTGGTAAGGCCACAAGGCTGTGAATGTCCCCCGGAGCCCCGCTGACGTACACACTCGCGGCGCAAGCCACCCGCTAATACCTATTCTTGCTCGCTCACATTCGTACTCACTTTCGCATTCGCACCACACAAAACCAGCATCTCCACAGTATCCATCGACTCGCATTGTATCCGAGCACGAATTCGACGACGGCTTGTTATATATACACACTTCAAGTCCGCCGCAAGCCTCTATCCATCTTCGCTCCTCTATCCATCGACGCAATCGTCAGCTACAAGAACATATATACCCACACGCACGTCACGTCACGTCACCCAATCCTCCACCCACACTCTCCACCACCACAACCACCACAACCACCACAACCACCACAACCACCACAACCACCACAACCACCACAACCACCACAACCACCACAACCACCACAACCAC